AAACTTGCTGTGTGACCTTACTGGACATGGCAACTTGTGGTCAGCTAAAGATAGCAATGTTGCCAATCTGGATTGAGGGTGGGTCTGAAATCTGATGTGGAGACAGAAGCCAAGACCAGAATGGAGTGGTCACAAGCTCGGAATTTGAAGTCACTAGGAGGCAGAAGGTGCAGAAGGGCCCTCTGGTGTGGCCTTCAGAGGGAGCATGGCCTCCAACTCTTTGACTTTGGCCCCAGAATTGAGAGACAATGACTGTCATCCTACATTCCGGTGGACGATGTGAGGGTGGTGGTCATAAGCCCTCACCCATGGCTTGGATGCCAGCCTGTGCCCTGCTGGCTCTGTTCTCCCTCACTTCTTGGGACCAGGGCCACCTTGACTGGGAGGCCTGCTTCTAGCACAACACAGGACACATAGGAGGTGTTCAGAAGGGGTTTGTGGTGGTTGCTGTGGTTTGTTTGTCTGCATTATTCTTAGAACTTTGGATTTTACAGTAATGCTCAGTAACAGGACCAAGCATGCTCCAGAGCATAGGAGGTATGTGTTGGAGAGATGGGGCTGGAGGGAACACAGGGATACTCGAATGCAGCAGGAAAATGCTGTCCAGCCTCATGAGGAGCTGGATGCCATTGCGGTCTTTGGCCTCAGGTCTGGGGGGCTGCATGTTGAGGGCATGTCGTCCCAGTCTCAGCGACCCTGGTGCCCACCCTCTGGTGCTCAGGGAGGAGAGGCTGACGCTGAGGCCCTAATGTGCAGCCAGGACCCCTGCTGGGATGTGGGACAGAGCCCGGTGGCCGCCCTTACCTGGTCACGTCTTGCAGCCTTCGCGCAGGGCTGTCGCGACACTGAGCCCAGCCCCTGCCCTCCCTCCTTCTGAGCCCCATCCAGCCAAGTCTTACCCACTGCACCTCCCCAGCTGGAGCCACCACTTGGTCCCCTGCCCACCCCGCAGCCGCCATGGTCTTCCTGGACCTGCGGTGATGGTGAGCCCGCAGTGCACGTGCAGTGACCCCTTGCCATATGAGCCCACCCTTCACAGCCCTCAGCAGAGTGCAGGCAAAATTCCCGGGTGGAGACACTGCACAGAGCCCCACTGCGCCCCCTTCAGCACATGGCCCCTGCCTGGCGCTGCCCTGCTCTGCACATCCTGTAGGAATAGGATGAGTCCTAGTCCTGTCCATCTGGCCCTGTCCTTGCAGCTGTTCTGTGGCCACACTGCAGAGCAGTGCAATAGGGTGATAACGGGCAGGGGACACTCAGGTATGAACTGCTAAGAAAAGGACTGGTTTGAGAGGCTCTGTCCTGCCATCCCTGTGAGGGATGCTCTAGAGAAGGTGACTGTGGAGACCGTGAGAAGGTCCATGTCCTTGTGGGTTGGGGGAAGGGAGGGGAGAGCAGGCAGATCACAGGGGACACTGGTGGTCCCGTGGTGGGGACGCTGCTCTGAGTGACAGTGTAACCGAGGGCCCGTGCCACCATACATCTGTGAATCCAAGATGGCCCCAGTATGAGCCGTGGCCTCCAGGGTCAGGCAGTGGCCACGCAGGCCCAAATGTGCCAGCGCATGGGGGGCCTTGGCAGGTCGGGCTGTGTGGGATGGGGCTTGCTGCAGACTCGGTGCTGCTTGATTTTGCTGTGAACTGAAAACTGTGGGTATAGTCTATTAATTAAAAATAGGAGCAGATGAAGTTAATTTGAATCATAGATTATAACAAACTCAATATATCCAGCATATTACTGTGTCCATATGTGTCAGTATTATAGTATAAATTTATGGTGAGGTATTTTAGGTTCTTTTTTTATGCCAACTCTTTGACTGAGTGCATATTTTACAGCTATGGTATATTTTTGTTCGAGCAAATTCTCTCCTCAGTGCTGGTGGCCTTTGCCACCTGGTCAGTGGGTGCCAAAGGACAGAGCAGGTCCAGTCACCTGTGGCTCTGGGGATGGCTCCTGTCTCCTCCACGGCACCTCTTCAGCCTCAGGCCCTGCTGCCTGTGACAGTGAACTGCAGCCCATCGGCTGTGACACATCAACCCCCAGCGGGCTCCTATGTGTACCGCAGCCCTAGTTGGAGGGCCTGCTTGCTGTCAGGAGCCTGAAGTCCCTGGTGCAGAAGCCTAGCGTGTGTGATGGTGCCCTCACATGGTGACAGGGCTTTGCAGGTAGGATTAAGTTCTTGAGACGAGGGGATCATCCTGGATTATCCACCTGCGCCCTGTGGGATCCTGAGGGGTATCCCGGGGGAATTGTCCCAGGAAGCTGGCGCTGTGATGAAGAGGGGTGGAGGGAGGCGCTTTGAAGGTGGAAGCTGAGGCGCCGAGCCCAGGACACAGGGGACCTCTAGGAGGGGGAAAAATAAGGGGACACGCCATTCCTGGAGTATTCACAGACGCCAACATTGACTTTCGCCCCAGGCCTGTTTCAGAAGTGTGAGCTCCAGAGCTGTCTGGTGGCAGTGTGCCTTGATTTCAGCCGTGTCTGTGGGGATTGTCACAGCAGCTGTGGGACACTGGCCCCCTCTTCTATGAGGTGTTGGTCTGGGGCATTGCCACGGAGGGGAGACAAGGAGGGACTGGGTTAGGGATGCGTGGCATGGGGCAGCCCGTGTGGCCCCCGGCCCCGGCTCTCGTGCCCTCGGCTTCCCGGGGCTGCCACGGTGAGGTGCTAGAAGCTGGGTGAGCGACCAAAACAACTGAACGTTGTCTTCCGGGCTCCTGGGAGCTAGAGCCCAGACGCAGGGTGTTGTGGAGCTGTGTCCCTCCCCTGGACATTTGCCTCAGGGTCCGTGGCCCAGCCTCCCCCCTCCCTGACACAGTAACCCAGGGTGACCCCATCTTAGCTGACCCCATCTCAAACACTGTTTTCCAGTGAGGCCGCATGCATAAGGGATGTGCGGCCAGGGACAGCATTCGGTCCAGGACCAGTGCCCCAGCCCCGTGGCCTCTCCTCCCTCCCAGGCCTCCGCAGCAGTCCCCTTGTCTGAGGCCCCCTGCCTTGAGAGACAGAGTCCCGCTTGCCTCCCCTGCACGCTTCCCCTCTGCTGCTGCCCTGAGGCTGTTGCGTTTCTGTGGCTCTATTCAGGCCTCCCTCCCCAGCCCCTTGGAAGGTGGGTTCCTGGGCCACAGGGCCCTGTGCGCCTGTTCCCGTTGTCCACAGCTGACCCGCACCTGGCAGTGGCCTTGAGTGAGCTGCTGTGGGCAGCTGGCCGAGGTGTGAGCAGGGAGACACAGGCTGCTTGGTGAGGCCAGATCTGGGCTGAAGCTGTGCCTGGCAGGAGGCAGAGGGGAGGGACGGGCTAAGGCTGAGGCGGAATCGATAGGCAAGCCCGAGGCTGGCGAGGCAGGGTGTGCGTGATGCTCAGGGCCACATGCTCATAAATACAGCCATTTTTCCCTCCAGTGCCTGGAATGCCGAGGATGTCCGGATCGATCCTCTGCTAATGGGCCCTCTGCTAGCTCCCTCCTTGCCTAGGAAAATCAATTCCCAGAGGTTCTGAGAGTAAAGTAAGGCTCTCTAAGTCCCCTCCTCCAGGCAAACATGTCTGTTCTCTGTGGCTAGGTCCGCCCTTCCAGCCCAGGGGTGCAGAGGTCAGGCAGGTTCCCAGGCCCTGGGGGCCCCCAGAGGGGCCGTGCTTGCTGGATCCTCCTGGGAGCCCAAGGCTGGCCCTTGTCCTGACCTGGAGGGACCCTGTAACTTGGGCCTCTGCAGGTTGTAAGGACACGTGGCCGCCTGACCACCAAAGGCAAAGGTGCTAAACACAGCCCGTCTTCCTGGACTGGGTTTTAGGTGCAGATTTAGAAGAGAAAATGTCCATGTAGAGACACAGGATGAGTCCTCAGGTGAGCCGGCCCTGATCCAATCACCTTCCCCACAGGGAGATGCCCGGGGACACTTGATGTGAGGCATCTACAGCTCTCAGCACCGAGGGATGAGTGTGAGAAGCCCAGGCCTACCCAGCCCCTCTGTGGGCCCCGAGAGGGAAAGGGCTGCTCAGGCCATGGCACAAGTCACTGTAGGTTGCATTGAAATGGGGGTGCGAGGCCCAGCCACCCCGAGTGCTGAGGTCGGAGATGGGAGCCCCGCCCAGAGCCGGGGCTACCACCCAAGCCCCCAGCCCAGCACTGTGGCGCATACCTGCGGAGCCAGTGTGTTCCCACCATGACCGGAAGGGCTTGCTTTCCGGGCTTCTCAGTCTTCGGCTCAGTGTAGAATGAACTCCGTGGCCTCTGTATCTGTGGCCCCCACGGCGCGGATGGTGGTCAAGTCCCTCTTGTGCTGCAGAGCCCCCACCTGCATTGCTGCGCGGCCGAGAGGGACTTGCCCCGGGTGGCGAGGTTGGGACCCGCTCTTCCACCCTCTGTGACCCTGGGCCCTTGGCCTTGTGTCCTGGCAGGTACTCAGCTGTCGCCTGCCAGCTTGTGCCCACCGTCAACCTGGACTGAAGGGGGTCAGCCTGGGTGCTGGGGCTCTGGTGACCTTCGCATCTGGGGGAAAAGCAGGTGCGCGGGGGCACGGTGGTGCTGAGTGACAGGGTGGTCTCTGTGCACAGATGGTGCCAGACAGCCATCACACGAGCTGGCCTCTGATCTCGAGTCAGCGCTGCTTGGTGAGTGATTTCAGGCAGACAGCGTCCCCTGTGGGCCTCCTTTAGTTCTTCTATGAGAGAAAATGGTGATATTGTGCGTCAGGTCCTGCGGGAAATCAAAGGAGCAGAGGGACCGAGGAGTGCTGGCACATGGCACCATCAGGAGGTGACGTGCTGGGCTTCAAAGCCCAGAAGTCCTCGCCTCAAGGCCTTGCTCTGGGCCGGGGTGCCTGCCTGAGTGCATTCCCTGTCCCCCAGGGAGCCCAGGCTCTCCACTGTGCACAAGATCATGCCACCCCAAGGGGGATGGAGGGGACAACACTCAGGGGGCTCAGGGGCTCGCCCTGGGCTGGAACACAGTGGGTGCTGCGTTGGGTGTGGGACACTGCTGACACTTGGCCCCTTTCCACAGGTCGTCGGACTACGGCACGTCCTACACCAAGCTCACCCTGCAACCTGGTGTCACTACCATCATCGACAACTTCTACATCTGCCCGACAAACAAGAGAAAGGTACGTGCTGGCTGGAGGTGGCCAATCCTGGGACAGCCTCCTGCTGTCTGGGATACATTTGTCCTCACTGTGGGCACATAGGAAGTGGCTGCTGGCATGAATGAGCTCCTTTGGCAGAGCCTGAGGACAACACTGAGCTGCCTCTTCAAGTCCTGTGGGTTCGGGTTTGTGCAGTACCCCATCAGGTGCTGGCCAGTGTCCTAGCTTTGCTCTCTGGCTGGCTGTGGGACGGGCATCCTTCTCCTTCCAAGGCCACCTTCCTGCTGGCTTCTGTAAGGATCCCCCAAACATGTGGCTGAACCCTCGCCCACCTGGGAACCCCTGCATGTCAGGGGAGGCATGAAGCACAGCCAACCTGCGTGCCAGACTCTGCTCAGAGTAGTTCAGGGTCACAGTAGGAGACTCACACAGACCAGTCTCAGCTCACTCTCTTTGTGCCTCAGTTTCCTCATTAGGAAATGGGATGCAATGCCCTCTCAGAGAGAGCCACAGGATGCATTCACCACTGCACTTTGTGTTGGTCCAGGATTTGAACCTGGGTCTCCAGGCCTTGGAGCACCTTTTGCCACACTCGGGCTCCCGGGCTTCCCTGCAGCAAAGTCTGAGGGAGCAGGTGGGTCCCTGTGGCAGTGTGAGCCCAGCCCACGTTGCTGGGGTCAGAGGTCAGCAGGTCTTTAACCCTCCCAGGCTCACTGGTATCTACCGAGCTGTGCGGTTGGGCACAGCTTGTTTTCACCGTGGGCCTCAGTTTCCCCATCTGTAAGGAAGATTCGTGAGACAGGGTGACAGCCAGGGAATGAGACTGCTGTCCATTCGGGCTGGGTCTCCCAGCTGCTTCTCAGCCCCCAGCCTGGTCCACCTAAGATCTGCCGTGTGCTGGGCTGCGGCTCATGCCACAGGGAGAAGCCCCAGCCTGATTTGTAGACCACAGGTGCAGGCGAAGGCCCTGCATGTGCCCACGCCCGGCGATGGGGCACCGGCCGGGCAACGCCAGCCTGCTAGAAATGGCGGTGCTGAAGGGCTGAGCGCTGAGCCCAGCCCTGGGTTTGTGCGAGGAGTGAGAAAAAGGCCCAGAGAGGATGCTCCCCGCCACAGGGACAGAGGCACCCTGACACTGGTGGCAGCGCCCCTCCCCCGTGGCACGCAGTGCTGAGTAGCGGTAAGCGCTGTGGGGAAACGTGAGCCCTGCTGCCAGCGCACTGACTGAGCGGCAGTTCCAGGCCGAGCAGCTCTTGAGAGCCTCTCAGGCGCCCGCCCCGCAAGGGCTCTCACAAGTGGATCGCCCTTAACCGTCTCACCCGCGCCCTGCACAGGGCTCTGTGGCCTGGATGCTCAGGGCAGGCGCTCCGCTCTCGTGGTGGTGGCGCGACACGGGATCCTGGGCGCCCAGCCATCCCCTCCCCGGCCCTCTGAGCCCGAGGGCGCGCGTGGTGTGAAGGCTGGACCCCGGGGGAGGGGTGCTGTGCAGAGTCGCTTTCAAGTGTCATGTTTTGTGTTAAAAATTCATGTGAATTTTCATCTTACTCCAGTGTACCAGTGTCAGTGTCGGACTGAATACTAAAAGCACGGGCACACACACACACACACACACCAACAGAAAATCACTGCCTTGAACCCATGGCCCAGGAGCTCGCGGAGTCGCAGCGCCCCTGGGCTCCCCTGGCCACCAGCGACATCCTGGGTGACAGGACAAAGGTGCCACGGTCCACTTCCTCCTTTGTTCTCCTGCAGTCAGGGCAGCCATGAGCCCGACCAAAGTCTTGCCTCTGGGACATTCTGGGTGTTGCAGAGAGCAGAGCTAGTGTGATGGAGCAGCCCCCGCCCCCCACCTATGGCCAGCTGGCCCAGCAGCCCCCTAATTACCGGCATGGCCACACGGTTTTCTGGGGGAAGGCAGAGGCCCAGGCAGCTTGTGCAGCTGCCCAGAGGCCACACGGCAAGTGCCTCTGCTGCCTCCAAGCAGCTCTGGACAGCAGCAGACAGATCTGTCCCCAACCTGTGGGGTTCCTGAGGCCCTCCCTCCAGCAGCAGGAAGTGAGGGAGAAGTGCAGGCCTGCAGTCGCCCAGGAGCTGTGGTCACTCTGGTGCCTGGATGGCCCTGGGAGGGTGGGTCGCAGCTCTGCCACCAGGCGTCCTCCTGCGCCCAGGTCCGCTTGCCCTGAGCTCTGCTGTGCCTGCTCAGGAAGCCCTGGCACTATTGGGCACCACAGCTGCACCTGGTGTTATGGGCTGAACTGGCCCCGTGACTATGCCCACGTCCCCACACCTGGGACCAGTGAGCATGGTTTCCTCTGGAAATGGGGTCTTGGCAGCCCGGATCAGAGTGAGATCATCGTGTTTCCAGCATGATCTGGGTCCTCTAGGGAAAGAAGAAGCACAGACGCCACAAGCACGGTGTGGGAAGATGCTGTGAGGACGCGTGGGAGGAGGCACTGGGGCACCTGGGCAGCAGAGGAACACAGCCAGGAGCGCCGAGGGCGGCCATCTGCAGCCCTCGTGTGCAGTGCAAGTCAGGACTCCGAGTCTCATTTAAGCCTTGGAGTAGCAGTCAGCGCTGCTGTCACTCAACATGGAGTCAGAGACAAGGCTTGGCTGGGTGGCTTGGTGGCTGCACGTGGGACCATGTGTGCCAGCAGGGAGGACAAGCCAACAGAAACACTGTCGCCTGGGGCTCAACAGCAGCCCTGGGGCCGTGAGAGGAGGCATGCAGGTGCCTTCCGCTGCCCCTTCTAACCAGGCCGGCAAAGAGGAGCCGCATGTAACCCGAGCACGGCGGGAGTCGCTGTTCTCAAGTCCAGAGCTCCTGGGCTGCAGGAGAGCCAGGACAGCAGGCCTTAGCTGAGCGCCCACCCTGCGGCTCACGGGCCAGAAGGCTGGGCCAGGCTGAGCCCAGGGAGCTGCGCTCTGATTGGCCAGGCTGGGGTCACGTGTTCTCTGGGAGTTGAGGGAGCAGCCTACCCACCTCCATGGAGCAAGAGGTGGAAGGTTCACGGACCTGGCGGGCGGCAGGTGGCCTCAACAGGGACAGCTTGCGTCCCCACATCCACCAGGGCTCACAGAGGAGCCCATCACCCGGCATTGGCATCACTGACTTACTTCTAACTCTGCTGTTAAAAATCAGCTTTCCTTATTTTAGGGTGTGTGTGTGTGTGTGTTAGCGGGGATGGGACCCAGGTTCTCCACACTGGGCTACATCTCCAGCCCTTCTTTGATGTGTTCATCTTAAGACAGGGTCTCCTGAAATCGCTAGGTTGCCCAGGCTGGGCTAGAGCTTGCCGTCCTGCCTCGGCCTCTAGGGCCTGAGATGACCGGGCTGTACCACAAGCGTGGCTGGACTGCTTTTGAAGCCCGAAGCCCCCTTTCTGGTGCTCCCATCTCGGTGGCACTACAGCCCATGCCTCACCCTGCTGCCTTTGGTCCCCTCTCCCACTTAGGCTCCTTGGACTCTCAGCCCCCAAGGGTGACACATGATGGACACTGGATGAGGGGGCTAGAAGACTGCATCGCCGTGCGGGGCCCAGGGGGAAGCTGGGCTGGATGCGGGAGGCGGCCGGGGAGATGCCACGGAGGCTACTTCTCAGCTCTGCACCTGCAGAAGGCGTGGGGAGCCCAGTGGGACTGCAGGGCCCTCAGCGTGGCTGCTTTACTGGAGGGTGAGTGGCTGCCAGGCTTTCATTGGCAACAGACAGAAATACAGTCTCGAAACAGAGAGAGTTTGTCAGGAGGATGTCAGGAACAATAAAGAACGACAAGGGCCTGGGGACCGGCGGACTCAGTAGCCACACAACTGCTAAGAAAAAGAACCCTCGTCACTGAGTCTCTGATGGGTTGTGAACTTGCCCACAAAGGCAGGGACCTTGGTGATGGTTCCAATGGGCCATGGCCACCGTGGCTGCTCTGTGGAGGAATGGGGGCACTCAGCGGCCCCTCCCCACTTCCCCTGCACTGCCCACAAGCCCTCATGCCTCTGTCCCACTGCAGAGGGAGGCAGGGGAACGTGGGAGGATGAGGTCTGGAGCCAGGTTTGCCATGGTGACGTCCGGCTGACCTGCTTATTAGCCTGCTTATTAGCCCGTGGCTGCTGTGTGGTCTTTCCTGGACCCCCAGGCCCTTCGTCTTCCTCTGTTTGTGGTGCGTAGATCCCAGACTTTGGGGTGCTTAATGACTCCATTATTTCTATGCACTGTGTCAGGCAGAGTGCTGTCCCCACCCCAACCACATGCACATCCCGATCCCCAGAATCTGTGGATGTCAAGTTCAGGGATGACCAGAACTTTGCAGATAGGTCCAGTTAGGGACCCTGCAACAGGGATGTTCCTTAGGTCATTCAGATGGCCTTGGTGCCATTGTAGGGTCCTTGGAAGAGGGAGGCAGAAGGCTAGAGAGAGGCTGGAGACCCTGAACTGCTGCTGTGAAGATGGAGGAGTGTTTGGGAAGGAGAAAGTCAAGCAGAGTGTTTCTCTGGCACTTCCAGAAGGAATGGCCCCTGCAGACCCCTGCCGTTGGCTGTCGGGCCTCGTTCTACCCTGCTGGCCTCAGGAACTGGGGGCAGTACTGTGCATTGGTGTAAGCCACAGAGTCCCTGGCTGGGATGTGGGTTCCCTGGCAGCTGTGGGCATCCACGGAGCCTTGCGCTGTCCCGAGGGCATGAGTCCTGGGCCTCTGACTGCTGGCCCAGCTGCTGCCCCCACTTGGTTTCCCACTGGGACTGGGAGTAGCAGCTGGCCGAGCTCCGCTTTCCAGGGTGTCTCTGTTTCGACCTGCTCTTTTCTGAGCTGGGCTTTGCTCATCGCATTCACTGCTGTTGTGGGCACCATAACTGGCTGGCTCTTTGCTGCTCAGGATTTGCCCAGGGATAGCCACTTTGCTCCTGGAAGTCTGTCTTGACACCTGGATTGCTTGTTGCTTTCCATGACCAAATAGGCTGCAGTTATTTTAAAAAATGATTGTGATCCTTCAGGAAGAATAACTGATATTCCTCAGCCAGGTCTCCACACATC